ATAATATTCCATCGATGGATGGACCGCGTTTCATGTATCCATTCACCACTTAGTCAACATTTGGATTGTTTCTACCTTTGGGCTCTTATAGATAGATAATGCTGCTGTACACAAACACTTGTGGGCAAGTTTTTGTGTGGACGTATTTTCATTTCCCTTAGCCTCTTTTCTTAGGAAAAAAACCCCTGGATTTCCATAAACTTGTGTTATCAAAAATGCTTCCTCTGTTCTCCTCTGGTACCATTAAAACAGGTCTAGAAAAGGAGTCCTGGCACTGAGATTTCACCCCACTGAAATTTCTAATGTCCTTGTACTTTCCTTCTGGGATCTGCGGTGTTAAGTAGAAAGCATTGTCTGTGCCTTTATTCATAAATCCATTTAAGTTAATCACTCTAGCCAGATGCAGAATTCACCAGCCTTGTAATTAGAGAGAAGAGTCAGTCTTCCAAAATTTTAATCCTCTGCATTTCAAATGCTGTCTGGGGTCTTGGCGCTGCCTGCCTGCAGTCCCGCTGTGACCAGCCAGCCGCTGTGAAGAGTGACCCCTCCCCCTCCACTGCCCCTCCCCCAGGCTGTGCGCCCAGCCAAGGTTCACTGGCCCCTGGCTATTGGGTACATACATGTTTGTTTGTTTTTTTCTCTTAATAGCTTTATTGATTCATATGCTATTAAATTCACTCATTTAAAAAGTATAATTCAGTATTTTTAGCATATTCACAGCATTTGCAACCATCCCCTCAAACTGGTCTTATTATGTTTTCATCACCCCTAAGAGAAGCCCCATACCCACTGTCAGCCCCGTGTCCCACCCCACTCCTCCCTGGTCCTTAGCAGCTGCTGGTGTGCTTTCAGTCCCTGTGGACTCACTTCTTGTGACTTTGTGTGGTGTGCGGTCACACCACGGGGTTTTCGGTGACTGGCTCTTGTCAAGGGTCATCCCACTGCAGCAGGTCTCAGCACTTCCTTCCTTTATATTAACGAACAACATTCCATGGTTGGAAAATGGCACATTTTATTTATCCCATCCTTAGTTGGTGGGCTTTTGGGTCATTTCCACCTTTTGGCATTCCTAATAGCGCTACTACCAACATCATGTGTGAGTTTTTGTGTGGACGTAGGTTTTCATTTCCCTTGAGTGGAATTTGTGTCATATGGTGACTCTGTGATACGGTTGAGCGAATCAAACAGTTTTCCTCAGCAGCTGCAGCATTTTACTGTCAACGTGTGGGGCTTGTCAGTTCTCCACATCCTCGTCAGCGATTACGGTTTTCCGTCTTTTGACTATACTCATCCTCATGGGGGTGAAGTGGTATCTCAGCTCAGTTCACATCTGCGTTCCCTGATGGATAACAATGTGAAACAACTTTTCAGGTGCTTCTTGGCCATTGTGAATCTTTGGAGAAATGTCAATTCGTATCCCTTGCCCATTTTTTTAAATTGGGGTATTTGTCTTTATTGTTGAATTGTAGGAGCTCTTTATATATTCTAGACACCAGGCTCTTTTCAGATGTGTGATTTGAAAATATCATCTCTCATTCTCTGGGCTGTTTTACTTCTACAGTGTTAGTTGCAGCCCAGCATTTTTAATCTCTGATGAAGTCCAGTTTCTCCATCATCCATCGTTGCTCGGGCCTCTGGTGTCATATGTAAAGACCCAGCTTGACACCACTTGCTTTAGTGACTAAATTAGATCTGATTCTCACCTTCAGTCTTGATCCCTGTCATGTTGTCTCTGCTCTCAAATTAAACTCAAAAGTAGAGTTTTGGAAGTGTCTTTATGAAAAATTTGTTACCAGCAAGTACACAAGTAAATGAATTTATAGTTTTCTCTCCCTCCCGGGATATTTGTTATTGTCTGGAGACATTTCTGGCTGTGACGGCTGTAGGGTGCTAGCAGCATCTCGTGGGCAGAGGCCGCTACATGCCCCGCAGTGCACAGGACAGCCCACCGCCCACAATGGTTCCAGCCCAAGTGCCAGTGATGCCAGCCCAGGCAGCCCTGGTCTAGACCATCTAAGGTCTGCTCTTTGGCATTAATATCCCCATCCTGTTCTAATCCTGCTTTAAATGGGACATGCCCTTGAGATGAGTCAGTTTATGATTCTGGTTTTCAATTTTTCTTCATATTCTTTACTTTGATCCTAAAAGCTTCCAGTATTTTGCTAGTACCTTTTGTTACTTATCCAAACTCAGCCTAGGGCAAGAATAAGAATGATCCTTCTCTTTTTAAGAAGGAAATAATAAGTACAAGGTTATGAGAACCATTTATATTAACCACACACACACACACACACACACACACACACACACACACACACAGGATTTGTTCCTGTGCTGATACTTTAGTACTTTCATGGTTTCAAACAAAGTTTATCACTAGATTCCATAACAGGGATGTGCAGGAGGACTTGGGCACACATACCACACAAGGAGGCTCATCCTGGCTGTGCACACGGCCCGGGCTGGGCCGGGCATTTGCACCCGCTCCTCCTCCCTCATTTGTGTGGCAGTTGCAGTCTTTGAGATGAACCGGAGGCCAGGACTATAGGATGCCCTCCAAACGAGGCCTGATTTTGTTCTGCATGAAAGGAATGTTTTGTTTCTTAAAAAAATGGGAAACTGAGTTCCCTTAGCAAGATCGCACAGTTCTTACAAACACAGTGGGCCCCGAGCGAGGACTCGGCTTGTCGGCAGCTGCAGTGCTGCAAGCCCCAAGTGCTCGGCGCAGCCTGAGCCGCGGCCATGGCCACGCTGCTCCGCAGGCCCAGACCACCTCTCCCAGCGGCGCTGCCTTCCAGAGAACTGCCACCCTGCCAGGACTGGCACAGCCGCAGTTTGATGACGTTCTCGGGGACGGTCTCAGGCCCTTTGACTGCCAGCACACTGGAGCTGCCGTGTGCCTTCTGCAGACCCTGGAGCCTTGCAGCCCGCAAGCACGGATGGTCTCAGCACAGCTCACCAGGGAAGGGTTGCGGCCTCTGCTCTGTGGCGCTCCTCCCATGAGGTCCCCACCTCCAGCTGGCCCGTTTCTGTGGACTCATCCCTGGGCACCCGAAGCCGCCTTCTTGGGAAGGTGCCGAGCCGGGGCATCTGGGAGACAGAGCCCTCCCCATTCCAGGGGTAGCCCCTGAGGTTTGGGGACCACTGTGTGTGACAAAGCATCCTTCGTCCGGGACCCAGAGCCTCGTGTCCCCTGTCAGCATCCTTGAAACGGTGGCAGGCCAGCTTGTCAGTCTGCACCGAGGCAGGGCTCGGATTCCTCACTGTTCTTAGCACCCGGCAGCTGTGGTCCTCTTTATAGAAATAGATAATGTTGAAATTGCTCTTAATGAACAGATCCTCTGTACTTACCTTGTCAAACATCGTAGGCATTATAAAGATGTGAATGAATCACTGTGTAATTTTGCCTCCATAAATTTACACATTTCCTGTCATCTCAGTGATGCTAAGAGATGAGGATCATTATCCTAACTGGGGACAGTGGCAGAAAGAGGTCACCTGAAGACCCCACCTTGAATACAAGTATGGGGGCCAAACAATGGTCTGGCCCACAACGACCTGATCTTTCTGCACCAGGAGATCTTTGACCAAAGGGCCCCTTAGAGTTGGTTCCATGGTTCTAAGAAAAAATAAGGGCTTATTCGGATAGCAGAGAAAACCTGATGAGCTAGTAATCTGTGTTTTCAGTAGTTTTGTGTATTTTTGCAAAAAGTAGGCTACATTTATTGAATGCTCCCCCTCCAAGCCACGTGAGATGTGTCACGATGCTCATGTTACGGTTCAGCAAACAGGATAGAGAGCTTAAACCGTTTCCCCGCAGTGCCCATGGGTCAAGCAGGGCAGCCAGGTTCAGCCCAGGCAGTGGGCTTCAGAGCCAGAATTCTCAGCTATTGTGCAAATAACAATTTAATACAACATTCAACTATGTCACTGATCTCAGGCCCCCAAACAATTTTCAGTGAACCTCTGGGTGGATTAAATCTACCCACTCCAGTGAATATGGCAGGACAT